TTAATGTTTAAGGAGATAAAACAGCTTTCTGGACTGGTTACAGTCTCCTAAAAAACAATCAAACTAAAAACAACTTTTATTTTAACCCTTACCCCTGTATTTTGATCCAACCCTTTTCTGGACCATTTTAAAAATAAATAAATAAATAAATAAATAAATAAATAAATAAATATCAAGTAAGTAAGTAAAAATAAAAATAAATGGTAGAATATCTGTGAGTTCAGCAGTTTTCTTAACCTCAAAGACGTCTCTGAATCTCATCTTAAACAAGATGTCAGGATTCAAAACCTTCCTGAGCCCAGCAAACATCTTTACTTCCTGGGAAATATTTATTACAGCTACTATTGCTTGTGCTTTCCTACTATCAGTCTGGTGTTGAGATGACTTTGTAAATAATGTTAGGAAAAAGCTGAGTTATGTAGGACTTTATGTTTTAAATGTGTCTCTCCTCCGAGTTTAGCGGCTTCTGAAAATATATAATTTATCTTTTTGTCTTCAGACCTGTTTGATGCAAAAAAGGTAAAGAAATTTTTTTGTAAATATCCTGAATAACCAGCAGAATAGGAAGAACCAAAATATGTATGCTTTAAATAGGAAAGAACAAATGTATTATTCTTTGTTATCATTGCATGTTTAAGCTCATTTTAGCCTAGCATAAAATGTACAGTTTAATTCTACACTTTTTAAAAAATATAAATTGTAATGCACACACTTTAGACTTGTAAACTTACAAGATTCTATTAAAAGTATAGTTTTTGTTGTGCTTTCAAGGAACTTATATTCTGAGAAGGAACAAGAAGACATTTATATTTTTAAACTGGAATTAGGAGCAACTGATTGTAATTATTCCACTTAGGCAGATACAGCACTGTAAGAAGGGTGTAGTCATCCTGCCAAAGGCCCCTATAGTCTTTAACAAAGCATAGGTTTGTAAAAGAAGAAAAGTCCACAACATTAAAGATTGAGCCTTGACTGTGCTTTTGGGTATTGGCCACTTTGAGAGTTAGAAGAAAGATCCAACCCAAAGACGCAGTCTCTGAACTATTCATTGACCTCTGCTGCTCTGTGTCAGGTCAAGTAAGAACAAACAGAAAAGGAAGAAGTAGGCTCTCCAATGTGAAGAGAGATAATGCCTAAAACCAAACAGTTTTCAGATTCATCAATCTGAGCCCTATCTTCTTCTGATCCTTTATTATTAAACACAGACCTATCATAGAGTTTCACAATCTCTTAGTTCACTCCGCATGCCACCCACATTGGTTTCCTCTGCTGAGCAGCCTAGTATCCTTGAGGTTCACCTTACACTTAGGTCTAAGAGCAGACATACTGAGATTTGCACACAATCTATAGCCAAGTGCCTAGGCCCACCAAGGGCACCTGCTTCAACAAGGAGGTGTTCTAATAATCCTTTTGTACCCCTCTTGGGCTGAAGCTGTAAGCCCCAGTGATGCTATCATTATTACCAGTCTTATATAAGGCAGGTTGATGCTAACATGAAATCACAGCTCTCATAGTATCAAAAATACTGAGAGGCAGGAAAAAGAGACAAGCCCATACAACCTACAAAGACTGAGTTACAGGTCATCAAATTTTCCATATTTTTTTCATTCATCAGTATAGATTATCTTCTAAAAGTAAACACTGTGTGGATTTGCTTAATACTCAAATTTTTAAAAGTTTTTTGCAAATATACAATGTATGCAAAGGTAATTCTGCCTTTGAAAATAATCATTTCTGAGAAAACTTACTTAGAAGAGAGTGGAAGCAAAGACTCTGGCTGTTTTGATTAACCCATTAACAGATATGTGTGTGTGTGTGTGTGTAGAGAGAGAGAGAGAGAGCGCAATGGAAAATAAAGCATTTTAGCAATTTGGTTTGAAAATATCTACTAGACTATAGCTAACTCATGCAACAATTATATTCCAAAATTTCCCAGGAAAAAGGTAAAGAGATTTCAGAGTAGCTTCTTCAGGTTCTTCCCAAATAAACAGAATATTTTAGAAATCCTTAGATAATAAGACAGATCAAAAGAAATGGATATATAGCAGTTTAACATTATACTAAATGAAAACATTATAATTACAACAGTAAAGATCTGTTGACTATCATTCTACTTCCTTTGGGTCTGCTTTAATAAATACTATTTGCAATATAAATAGACATTATTTACATAAGTGTTTACAAAGGGCCTCTTATTATAGTAATTATATTTATTGATTTCCATTTCTCTGAAGAGCACCCCTTATTCTCATTAGCATTCCCTACTCTATTACTGAGAAAAGATATTTGGTTGCTAGAACCCTGTTTTGATCACTAATAGCGTAATGAAATCACAGCGTTACTGTCTTCATAGAGTGTAGCTGGAGGGTAATTAAGCATGTTTGTGTTGGAGTGTATCTATTTAATGCTTGTTTTGCTTGTCTCCTATTTTCCTTCTTACAGATTTTTAAAAGCATTGGCTCTGATGAGACTGCCCAGGGGCAAGGAAATCGGAGGCTGATCAGCTTTTCTCTCTCAGGTATGTTTTGCTCACCTGAAGGCTTATGGAGAGAATAAGAATGTGAACCAACAGTCAGGAAACCCACTTCAATTTGACTCTTACCTAAAAGTTACCCAACCTCTCTGTGTCTCAATTTCTCCATCTGTAAAACAAAAATTGTCCTCATGAGGACATTGGAGGATTCAATAAATAATAGATTCAACAGCACTTTGAGATGATGAGAAGAGAAGCTACTATTCTACTTCTCCATTTCTAAGTAGTGTTGCAATCATAAGGCCTGTGTGCTCAGCACATCAAATATTAAATATTTAATAGATCAGAATTTTAAATAAGGAAAGGTTTTATTTCTTGAAATGGAACCATGACAAGGAGATGGAAGATTTCTAGTTCTCTCAAATTCTCTTAAGAGTGCCTCAAGTTCTAGTACTCTATACATACAGGTTGAAGGGGTGGGGCAAGAGATGGGATCCAAGGAAGAGCTAGAAATTTCCAAATCTCTTTGCTCCTGTCATTCAAACCAGAAGTTACTCAAGTCTCTGGCAGAACTCCATTCAATTAGCATATCTATAGAAATGCAGGCTGGGACCAAGGCAACATCTGAAAGAGATGGAGAAGCATTCCACCCTGTTACCATAAAGGTAATTGGAGTTTTTATAAAGTGGAGGTAAAGAAAAGCCTGCAGAGAGAAGAAACAGCCAGTAGACTTTTTGTCTAAATAAAATCTTAATTAAGCCCAATTCGTAAAACCAACAAAACCTGAGCTGCTCAAAAAGGACATTTATGGAAAAACCTGTGTAAATCATATAAAGTCTGTAATTTAGTTAATATTATTTAATTAATAGTTAAGAGTAATTTAGTTATTTTTTTTAGTTTTAATAATGTACCATAGTTCTGTAATATGTTAGTAGTTGGGAAACTGAGTAAATGGTACTATACTATCTTTGCAACTCTTATGTAAATCTAAAATAATTTCAGTATTAAAAGTATAAAGAAAAACTGAATTGCTCTTGCTAAAATGTTATATGAACCCCATACACTCAATTTCACCCTAAGTTGTCTTTGAGGAGATGTAATGTCATGAAGCTCTAGGATGCTGGTGAGTATAGTTTGAGAAACTATTGCCTTATTAGCTTGTTGTCAAACCAAAAAATATTGCAGGCCATAAATGTCAGAAATTCAAGATCACACTCATGTACTGTCCTTGGGAGATAGACAATCAACTGGGGCTTTTCATATTAAAGTAAGCCCCAGTAATGCAAATGCATGTCTAAAGTTCCACTGATAAGTGATTATAGCAAGGTTACAAGATACAAGGTTAATATACAAAATTTCAATCACTTTTCTATATACCAGCAATGAAAAAGTAGAATTTGAAATTAAAAATACAATGCCATTTACATTAGCACCCCCAAAATGAAATGATTAGCTGTAGATCTAAAAAATGCATAAGATCTATATATAAGGAAAACTATAAAATTCTGATGAATGAAATCAAAGAACTAAGTAAAGGAAGAGATATTTCATGTTCATGGTTAGGGAGTTATAATACTGTAAAGATGTCAGTTCTTCCCAACTTAATATATAGAATCAATGCGATCCCAATCAAAATCCCAGCAAGCCACTTTTTTTTGGATATTGACAAATGGATTCTAAAATTTATATGAAAAGGCAAAAGACCCAGAATAGCCAATATAATATCGGAGATCAAAGTTGGAAGACTGACACTACCCACTTCAAAACTTGCCATAAAACTAGGAAACAAGACAATGTGGCATTGGTGAAAGAATAGAAAAAAAATAGATCAGTGGAACAGAATAGAAAGCCCAGAAATAAACTCTGATATAGTCAACTGATCTTTGACAAAAGAGCAAAGGCAACACAATGGAGTAAAAATATTCTCTTCAATAAATGGTGCTGGAACAATTGGACATCCACTTGCAATAATAAAAAAAAAAATGAATCTAAACACAGACCTTAATTCCTTCACAAAAATTACTCAAAATGGATCATAAACTCACATGTAAAATACAAAGCTATAAAACTCCTAGAAGATAACATAGGAAAAAAAGCCTAGGTGACCTTAGGTACGGTGATGCCTTTTTAGATACAATACCAAAGACATGATACATGAAAGAAATAATCAATACATAAAAAAATATATAAATTTGAAAAATAATGTAAATATTAAAATTAAAAACTTCTGCTCTGCAAAATACTATAATAAGGGAATGAGAAGATAAGCCACAGCCCAGGAAAAACTATTTGCAAAAGACACACCTGATAAAGGGCAGTTATCCAAAATATACAAAGAACTCTTAAAACTCAATAAGATGAAAGCAAACAATCCAGCTGAAAAATGGGCCAAAGACCTTGGCAGAAATTTCACTAAAGAAGACATACAGATGGCAAATAGTAAATGATAAGACACACCACACTATATGTCATCAGGAAAATGCAAATTAAAACAACAGTGAGATATCACTGCATGCCTGTTAGAATGGCCAAAATCCAGAAAACTGAAAATACCAAATGCTGACAAGAGTGTAGAGAAATAGGAACTCTCATTCATCGCTGGTAGGAATGCAAAAATAGTACAGACACTCTGGAAGATATTGTGGTAGTCTTTTACAAAATTGAACATACTCTTTACCATATGATCTGGTGATCACATTGACTAAAGTTTACACAAATGAGTTGAAAACTTAAGTCCATAAAAAACTTACACACAGATTTTTATAGCAGCTTCATTCATAATTGCCAAAAGTTGGCAGCAATCAATATGTCGTCCTTCAGTAGGTGAATAGATAAATAAACTATGGTATATCCGGATAATGGAATATTTAGTGCTAAAAATAATGAGTTATCAAACCACGAAAAGACATGGAATGTATATTACTAAGTGAGAAAAAGCCAATCTGAAAAGGCTACATAGTGTATGATTCCAACTTTCTGGAAAAAGCAAAACTATGTAGGCAGTAAAAAGATCAGTGGTTGATAGGCATTGGGGAAAGAGATATGAACAGGCAGAACACAGAGAATTTTTAGGGCAGTGAGAATATTTCTGGGCTTTCTATAGGCATTGGGGAAAGAGATATGAACAGGCAGAACACAGAGAATTTTTAGGGCAGTGAGAATACTCTGTATGATACTCTAATGATGGATATGTTTGTGAAAACACATAGAATATACAACACCAAAAGTGAACCCTAATGTAAACTATAGACTTTGAGAAGAGAAGTAAAGTATTTATCACTCTTCGATGATGATGCGTCAATCAATGTAGGTTCATCGATTATAACAAATATACCACTCTGGTAGGAGGTGTTGATAATGGGGGAGGCTATGCATATGTGGAGCAGGCAGTATGTAGAAAATCTCTGTACTTCCTCTTAAATGTGATGTGAGTCTACCACTGCTCTTAAAAAAAAAGCCTTTTTTATAAAAAAAAAAAAATCCATTGACAACATTAGCATGTATCTGTCTAGGTTAAAAAAAAAAGTGAAGAACCCCAATACTTTTGTATTACTAGGGCAAAAAGCTAACAACTCCTGATTTGCTATTCTTGTGTTTCTCTTGAAATGTTTGAGAAGCAAAAATTATTTTTACAAACCTTCAGAAACAGTAGAAACCAGGAAAGCTACTCAACTACCTGCCAAAAATGACGAGGAATTTTTACTAACCAAAGCTCAGTGAAATCCTAAAGCCTAAGAATGATGCGATGTCAGATTAGTTGTGTGGAACTGGGGAAGGAAATGAAATCCCTCTCTATTAATTGGTTCCCATTTTGGCTCCGCAATGCAAACATGGGCTCACAAACCCACCATAGGAAAGAAAACCACCTTCCCAACTTAGTTCAAACAATTGGTTCATCTCCTATAGCTCCCCCAAATATAATTTTTTTACACTTATTCCAAGGCAAAATTGCCATCAATTAAATATGACTGGAGTGGTAAAGTTAGCAGCTAAAGAAGCAAATCTGGAATGGTCATGGAAGTATGATATTCAGTAGCTGAACATATATATGTGTTAATTCACTCAATCTAGGAAAAAAAGAATAAATACTACTTAAAGTATCATAACAAATCCCACGATAAAAAGATCAACAAATCTATAACTAAGCAAACCCATAAAGTATCAAAAACTTGACTAGAGATGCCAGTCACCTCCAAGTATAAAAGTAGAGACGAAGATTCCAACAGTAGCCAGTTGGGTGACCAAACTAACTGAAAAGGACAAAAAGGACTAGAAAGGACAAATAACAAGACTCCACAAACTATTCATGAACAAATAGCAGACATTTTGACTTGAAGAATGTGTAGAGAAGAGATTCTACCTCATAAAAAAGTTGAAGGACATAACAGTCAAGAGAAAAAGAAATAGTTCATTGATAAATATCTACTGAAGCATTTATCATTCCTCTGCTTGTACTCTCAATAAAATACAGGAAAGCTTAGGACCTATTAAGTAAGTTTAAGATGAGGAAAAATAGTAAGAGAGTTCTTTGAAGCTGGCAAAAATAAAAACTTAGAAAACTAAGTGTATTTGTTTTCTATTGCGTATATATGTTTTCTATTGCTGTTGTAACAAATTACCATAAAATTAGTGACAACACAAATATATTTGTACAGTTCTGAAAGTCAGAAGTACAAAATGAATCTCAAGGGAATAAAATCAGTGTGTCAGCAGGAGTGGTTCCTTCCTGGGGTCTCCAGTGATAAATTCATTTCTTATCTGTTTTAGGTTCTAGAGTCTGCCTGCATTTTTTGGCTCATGGTTGCATCATTCCAATCTCTGCTTCATTGCACATCAATTTTTCCTCACTATGCCCCTCCTAATTCCATTTGATAAGGATTCTTATGATTACATTGGGCTCATCTAGATAATCCAGAATAATCTCTTTATCTCAGTCGATATCCTTAACTTAATCACATCTGCAAAGTCCCTTATGCTATGTAAGGTATACACATGTAAGGTTTACACAGATTCCACGGATTACATTGTGGTCATCTTTGGGGGTGGTGGGGGACATTTTTCTATCTATCACAATCAAGGAGAAATGTAATTCCAAAAGGTACAAACATAGAATTAAAAGTGGGTTTTAGAAAGCCATAAAGAACACAGTCACCACTACAGAATTAGAATTAGTAATCTGGTAGACTGACTTGAGAGTCTCTCCCAGAATGCACAGATGAAGGGCAAAATACAGAGATGAGAGGGGAAAGGATGGATGACACATACAGCACCAACACATACGTAATTGGTATTTTCAATGAAGAAGTCAGAACAAATTGAACAGAAACAATAATAGGAGAAACGTTTTTGAGCTAAAGATAACTTCGAATCTTTGAATTAGACTATTAAGTGCTAAGGGAAAGTGTTTATATAGAGATTGTATTTATATTATATAGAGATTGTATATACAATATGAAATCAATTATGCAAAGAAAAATACTGGAAAGTAATAAGGAAAAAGTCTGGTAATGGTTGCCACTACATGGTACAAGTTGAAATAATTTTAAAATTCTGTTTCTTTTCATTCTGAACTTAAAAATGTTATAATAATTGTGCATTATGTTCATCATCAGAACAAAAAAACAAATGCAGGTAAAAATGGGAGTAAATTAAGTATTCTCCCATTAATGTATCATTTACTTCTGGAAAATCATAAAACTCTATATGTTCTTACAGACATTCATTCCAACAATTTTATAGTTAAAGAAATTGAGACCTGAAAGAATTAAATAGATTTCCTCAAGTGATAAAGTTCAATAGTGAGTGTTCCAGAATTAAAACTAGGTATGCTGACTCCCAGTTCCATGCATTTTTCTTTACACTCATTGTTGCAACAGTTTTCAAATACTTTTACTCCATGAAACATGTATTTTAATAAGATCCAAATTGAACTTAACTGTGTAAATCTTTATAAAGCAAAGTACAAGTTTACTGAAGGACATGAAAGAAGACCTGAGAAAAAAATAAAAATGTTTTTGAATAAGAAGCAATATAAAGGTACCAATTATCCCAAACTTAATCTATAAATTCAATGGAATTCCAATCAAAATCTCAGTATCCAATCCCAAAATCTAATGGGTTTTCTTTATAGGTTACCATCTTCTTTTCCCTGGCTGCCCTTCGAGAATGCCCATTATTTTTTGTGTTTCCTTACCTAATGGTATCAGCTAGTTCTTGTATTTATCTTTCATTATTTTTCATTCTTTGGTCTCTCTCTTCTTACAATTTATTTATAGATTTCCGTCTTCAAAATCACTGATCCTTTCCTCCATTTGGTCAACTCTATTTCCCAAGCTTGCTATTTCATTTTTTATCTCTTTCAGTGCGTTCTTCATCTCCAGAAATTCTATTTGGTTCTTTTTGAGGGTTTCAATCTCCTTGCTAAAGAACTCATTCTGCTCATCTAACTGTTTTTTCAACTCCTAGAATTTTTGATATGAATTATTTTGGCTTTCATTGAGTTTTTTCAGAAGTATCATCCTGAATTCTCTGTTATTTAAATCGCATATTTCTATGTCTGTAAGCTTATTTTCTGGAGATTTTTCTCTTTCTTTCTGAGCTGCTTTGTCACCTTAGTTGATCATAGTGTTTAATAGACTATTTCTCCACCTGGGCATTAATGGAAGTGTATTCTGCTATTTTTCCAGAAAGATTTATTACATAAATGTCTCTCTTTTGCCCATAGCTATGAAGGAGTTTTTCTTTTGGTTTTCAGTAGGTGACATCTAATCCTCTTGGATCCCTACTTTATATAAAGTCTTAATAATGCCTTTTTTCTTAAAATATTCAATCACACTCGCTACCCTCAGTCTCATTCCTTGTCATTGTTAGCAATAGTTTCAGTAGTGTTTGCTCAGATTCCCTTGGGGCTCCACAGTGTTCAGTGTTGGAGGATGTGGGGGATATGCCCTCTGAGTTGGGGGATAGGGGCTGCTCCTCAGCCTTGTATTTTGCAACAGCAACTGGTAATAATCAGCTGTTGCCTCTCTGCCATCTCCACTTCTCTGCTTTCTGCCCTGATCCCTGGAAACTGCTGCTGAGAGAAGCTCGCAGCTCTCTTAGGTAGGGCTGTTCAGGGAATCCACCACACCTTCTCCTCTTCCCCTCTTTTTGCAGGAAGCTGGGGCTGCGAGAGGCAGCTTCATTGTTTCTCCCAGTCTATTGCCTGACTCCTGCTGTTCTGACCTGTGGTAGCTCTAATTTGCAGATCCCATGTTAAGTTGTGTCGATGTGCAGGTTGGATGTTTTTATTGAGTTTTAGATGTTCAGCTTATTGTTGTTTCAAGGGGAGAGATATGGAAACATCTCTCACTCTACCATGTTTTCTAGAATAGAATATTTTTAAAAAAAGATTCATTTACACTTGAGAATTTAACCTATGTCAATGTTGATGTTTCTATTAAAAGGTAATATAACTTATTGATTATAAGCACAGACTTAGGAATCAAATAGACTGGTTCAAATTTTATTTCAAATATTGACCAATTCTGACAACTTTATCAAGTTACTTAATACATAAGACTCCATTTTCTCTTTCTCAAATTAGTAATATACAATTTTATAGGGTTCATGGTTCAAATTAAATCAGATAATGTATTTGAAGGTCATTCAATGGTTTCCAGAATTTAGTGACTTGCCGATAAGTGGTAGGTGGTAGGGATGGACCTGATGAGATGATAGTAGTCATATTATTTTATGATGAATAAATCTATAAATCTATATGTCTGTTATACATCTATATATCTATATCTATATCTATATCTATATCTATATCTATATCTATATATCTATATCTATCTATCTATCTATCTATCATCTATCTATATATGTCAGGATCTCCAACACCATCCCAGATTTGATGATTCACTAAAACTTAGCATATAATCATACTCATGGCTACAACTTATTACATTGAAAGAATATAAATAACCAAAGGCTAACGGTGCTTGGAGAGAAGTCTGGAGGAAATCAGGGCCTTGCTTTCATGGGTCTTCCCAGTGGGATCACACAGAATGTGCTTATTTCCCCCATCAACAAGTTGTGACAACACATGAAATGTTGTATATCAGGGAAGCTCATTACAGACTAAGAGTCAAGGTTTTCATTGGGGTCTTGTCACATAGGCACCTCTGCCTAGCAAATACCAAAATTCCAGATTCCCAAAAGGAAAGCAGGTGTTTAGCATAAACCACATAGTTTACATACCCAGGTTAGATAAAATGAGCCACTCATCAGTTCTGAGGTGTGGAAACCCTCCAGAGATCCAAGTTCCCAGACACTAGCTAAAAACCAACCTTATGAACAACCCTTTTTAAGGAGGGAAACCTCAAGTTGCTGTGTTCTCTTTTTTCTGCATATACTCCTATGGGTTTTATACATTTCTGTGATGGTTATTGTGCTTTGTATCATTTTTCCCTTGGGTTTTACAAATTTCTATGATGCTTATTGTACTTTCTACCTTTTTCTCTCCTCATTGCAGTATATTATAATTCAAGAGTAAGAATTTTATTATGGAAATAACATTAAATCAACTCAAAATAACTTTTAAGTAAATTTATATAAAAACTTCTGTACTTTATTCTTAGTAAAAAATTACTCAAACACATCACAATTTATACTATGGGTTGGGTATCAATTCAATGTATCTTTACCTCCATTTCTTTCACTGATATATAAATGGAAATAATTTGGGGGAAGAAGGGATACTTCAATAATAGAAAACTTTCTAATTGTGTTTTTGACATCATAAATATATTTCTAATAAATATAAAATGATTTTGATTTATCCTAGAATAATTATAAAACATTATCACAAATGGTCTTGTTCTCTCTCTCTCTCTCTCTTTCTCTCTCCCCCAACTCCCTTCAGCATGAAATTGTACAGGATCAGACAATTTCAATTAAATGAAACAGTTCAGTTTTCAAAGCGTTGCCTGACAGCATGGTTATTTAAAACTCTCCTCACTGATATGCATTTAACTCCATGGAAACCATATTTTCTTTTCTCATTTCTCCAGTGTCCATGCTCTTTGCTGTTTTAACCCTCCTTTTTCTCTTTATTTCTTCTAATGTTCTCTTATTCAGCTAAGATCATATTTACTGTGAGGCTATAACCCTTGTTTTTTCTTGTGTCTTCACTTTGCAGAGAAATTTTCACCTAGGTCCATAAAATTTCAAAGTTGGATTTCCTTACTCATTTTTCATCTAAGTTTTCTAAGGTGACCCTCACCCAATCCCATTATATTAGCCTGCCCAAAGAATACTAAAGTCCAACCCAGTCAAGGCTAATTGTCCTCGCTTGAAAAGCTTAGTGACCATAATACCAGTCGTATTGATTTATTACAAGGATTTCTCACCAAAATAATTTAATACATACCAGTAAATGTTCCATATAGTGGATTATACAGACATATTTGCAATGAGGTAGAAATAGTCTAGAGATTAAAAGATTGTTCGATGTTTTAGATGGACTTTTCTCCTTTTGAAAGGTCTATTATGATCTTCAACCTCACTAAAACTCATTTAAATTAAACTATCTTTTATTTTATAGATTTCCAGGCCACGGGTTTGAAGAAAGGGATGTTTTTCAACCCAGATCCTTACCTGAAGATTTCCATTCAGCCTGGGAAGCACAGCATCTTCCCCGCCCTCCCTCACCATGGACAGGAGAGGAGATCTAAGATCATAGGCAACACCGTGAATCCCGTCTGGCATGCTGAGGTGAGTGCCCTGGGCCCTAAGAAGACGCCTAAGTGACCAAATGAAATGATTGATCATGAAGAAGTTCATGTGCTACTTTCTCTTTCTTAGAGTCCCACACTCTACCACTAAATTCATGGCTTTCTTGATCTTAGAAGGGAGCTGTGTTCTCGATGGGTTGCAACTCTCAGGATTCTTGATAGAGTTCCTCAAGGTAGTACCAGGAAATCATTCATTGCATTTACACTCAGTAGCCATACAATAGCCCCTTTATTTGGATCCAAACCTGTACCTAAAAGCAGGACAGCCTTTCTCTCTGCCTTTGTGTGGGAGAAAGAAGAGTTTTGATTTGAGCATTCTCATATTCTAATCATACATGTGGTCCTTAAGCAAGTGGGACAAATTTTAAATATGTCCCTCTGGACTAGTGCCAGAGATGTTAAAATAGTCAGCTTCCTGGGACAGATAAATCAATAAGACTAGAATAACCCTGGGGTTACATTTGCTTGATTAAATAGACATAAAGCTTAATTGTTCATCCATCTTCCTGGTTCACACAGTGCTAGGCAACTTGTTGGAGTATTAAATTGTTTGGTTTTGTCTAATGAAAGCCTTTCTCCACTCCTGAACGTGTCTCCACCACCAGCCAGGTACTAGAAGGTTTCTTAACAAAACCATGGGTCAGAGCTAGCAGAAAGTTGTCACAACCCATTTGGCTGCCTAATTTGCTCTCTTTAGCTTGAGGGTATAACCTGCAAACTATGTGGGTAAGGAAGCAGAGAGGCTTAAGGCCTGAGCATGGCAGCAGTCTAGTACAGTAAAAGTGCAGCTTTGTAGTCACACAAACCTTGGGTCAAGTCCCATATTGACTAGTTAATAGTTGTGGAACTTTGAGAAATTATCCTCAATCCAAGTCTCATATTATCTTATGGAAATGTACTATTCCTACTCAAGACATTTACTTTGGACAGGATTCTTTCCTTTATTCTTTAAAATGGATTATCTCTGATATAGAATCCTTGAACACCTTTAACAAGAAAGTGTAATTAGATATTTGGGGGCAAACATCTTTAAACCACCTACTTCCTAGGCTTAATTAACCCTACCCAGAAGAGCAACATAGGGGCTTTTAAGTGGACATAAGGGAAATGGAGTTGCACTTAAACTTCCTGCTACTTTAGTTATTCACAGATTCTAAAGCACAGATAGTGCCATTAGTATGGAATAATGAATCTTAAATTATTTGTTTCTTTAGTCTTGGCTATTCTCACCATCTATTTCTGCACTCCTAGCTGCATTCCTAGGAATAATACAAGATGCCACAGACATTTATAGTACATGAAATAAAAAGACTTCTCTCTGAAGAACTTTAGAGCAACTTGTTCTAAGGTATTTAGTCATAAAGGTGTTATATCTCAGAGAACATTTGTAAAATCCAGCACCATCAGAACGTTTTTGGACCTCCTCCATTCTATCTAGCATGCTACAGTTAAAGTTAGTGTTCTAAATAAGTTTCAGTAAATGTTTCCCTGATGAAGCTCAAATTTCTCAAGTTGAACAGAGAGTAACTGGCTGAGCTGTGATTTGAATAAAGGTTTGTGTGACTGTAAAGCTGTTCTTTCAGCAGGTAGATTATACTATAGTGCCCAGTGCCCACATGTGGAAGTCATAGCTCCTGTGAAGAGCATTCAAGGCCTTCTATGACCTGGCATTGCTTACCACTAATATCAGTTAAGGATGCATTTGGCTCTAAACTAAAGGAAGCCTAGCCATCTGTGATATTTCTCACAAACAAGAAGTCTGAAGGGAGGTGGTTCAGGCAATGCAGTTGCTGAGTATAGCCACCAAGGACTGAAGCTCTCAGCATCTTCCCATTACATCTTAGCATAGGGCGTTTGTCTTCCTATCTTAAAGCCTCAAAACCAAATTCCAAGCAAGAAGAAAACCAAAAAAAGCCAAAGAATTCTTCTCCTTGTAAGGCTTTGCATATTTATTCTGTAAAAGCCCTTCCTGGCAAAAGCCCTATTACCTGTCACAGGACTTCACCTGTATAGGAAAGCCTAGTGTTCTGCTTTTCTAACTCTATAGCATGGAAGGAAGAGGGGAAGGTAGTTATATATGAGTGTTAGATAAACCAGTTTATGTCTGCAATGTGCTTCAGCTTCCCTCTCCAGTACCTTCTACCAAAGACATTATGCTAAGGCTACTCTCGATAGCTGTTATTCCCTAGTTGCCCCTTGTGCATTCAAACAGCTAAATAGTGTCTTTACTTATACCTGATTGATAAAATAGACATTCTCAGTTACTCCAACAAGCAACTCCACTCATCCATCGAGTCTCAGCTAAAATACACCTCCCATGTGAGGCATTCCTTGGTGCTCCCACCCCACGCCTCACAGGGAAAGTGCTTCTTTCTCAGTGCTCCCTTGACCAGACTTCCACCATAGTGTCACCAGGTTGCCTTTAATGTGCACATCTGTCTTTCTCATGGGACTCTCAGCTCCTCAAGGAAAGGAATCATAACTGATTTATCTTGATACCTCTAATTCCTGTAACCTAATAACACATTAAATACTATGCCAAGCAATATTCTAAATGTTTTATATAATTAATTCATTTAGTCCTCACAACAACTCTTTGAGATATGTATTATTATAATCCCAATTTCTAGATGAGGAAATAAAAGGCACTAAGAAGTTAAGTGATTTTCATACAACTAGTGAATGACAGAACCACAATTTAAAGTACTTTTCTTCACAGATTAATGCTGATCAGTTTTATGTGTCAGTAATTGTGAGCAAATTCTGGAGAGAGTGTCCATACCTTATATCAGATACTCAAAATGATCGTTATACCCCCTGACCTTTCATAGGAAAAAAAAAAGTTAAAATCTGTAGCCAAAGACAGTTATCAAAAGGCTTAAATGGGTCTTTCCAGCTAATCATATGAACCTCTAGAGGATAAGTTTGAAGGATAAATGAAAATGTTTTAAAATGGAGAAAGCAAGGTGAAGTTCTTATGTGTGATTATCCATTTATTTAAGAAATGTTTATTGTGTATCTACTCTGTAGTAGAAATGAAAGCCCCTGGAAAGACACAAAAATGATGGAAAGCTAAAACCACTCAGACTAATGGAAGGAGACAATACAATAAAGTCATGCTCTATTCAAGGTGTGAACAGAATGCTGGAGAATACCGAGGGAAGACTTCAACAGAGAGTGTACTTTTGAACTTGGGTCTTGACAGGAGATGAGACGTGAGGGGAAGGACACTCCAATTAGAAGGAACAATATGTGCAAAGGTACCAAGGCATCCCACACTTAGGGAACTCTTTAGAAATGTCATGTGGTTAGAGTTTTGTGGCGTACATGGACAAGTGATGGAAATTGGGCTGGGCTTACTCCAGTTGCACACATCCAACATCATTTCCTTATTCCTTATAAAGAAAAGCTAATGTTGGTTTCTGGATCTCATATCACCTTGGTGAATAAGTAGAAGATCCCCTGCTCCTACGGGATTCATGAAATCTTTAAATTTCTTTGCAAGAAGGTGAGAACGAAACTGTCCTACTTTCTGTATTTATTGATTAATATACAAAAGATAGTCAGTGAGAAATAATTGAAGTTGCCTGTACTTAAAAGCAAGAATATTTTTAATGTGTAGTTTAAATGCTAAATTTATTTCTATTATTAATGATGCATTAGTCTGATGTGATTTTTTTCTAATTTATTCAAGTTCAAACTTGAAACATTTTTTGCTGATTAAAACATACTAAATCTTAGAAAAATTAAAATTACTATAGAATTTTAAAACGAGAAGGAAAACTGAGAGTAATACATATTAAATGTAATGTAAAATAAAAATAATAAATTAAAAGTTTTTCATATTGGTTAATCATTTTTTTTTCTTTATTATTACTGTAATCAAAAACTATTTTCACCCAGGGAGCACTCTCCTTGACTTTCCAGGATGTATCTAATGAGCATTGTAAGGTCATAGCTACACAAAGAAGTTAAACAGAAACAGCAGCACTGGGTCTTGGGTTATTATTATCAGAGAGCTTATGTAGAGAATATATTCATATCCCTAAATAAAACAAGGAATTCCTAAAAGCAAATTCTCAGAAATATCAAGTGGATTGAGCAAATATTAAAATACAGCCTGGTGCCATGGTCTTTATTAGTCTTCACCTCATTCCCCCTATCTCTGTCTTAAAAGCTGGATGGATTAATTTCCACACATGCACTATCAGCCTGCTCCAATCTGGTCACAGATTAGAACATTGGGTCTTGCTTCATAGAGCTTATATTTTAATGTGAGAAAACAAAACAGAAATAAGTTAACAAGATAATTTCAATGGAAATAAGTAACAAAGGAAATATCACATCGTAATATGTTGTTCATGACTGAGAGGAGCTACTTTAAATATCTGGTGGTCCAGGAAGACCTTTCCGAGTTGCTATCACTTTAACTGAGAAGCTAGAAGAACAAAGACCTGTTTCAGACAGTGTGGAGGCATGAATGTAATGAGTGTGGCATGTTTAAACTACAGCAAGAAGGTCACTGGGACTGGAGGATAGTGATTGTGTGAGGCTTGGAGCTGGGATATAAGGTGAAGTTGGAGAGAGGGATAGGGACCAGCATCTTGTAAACCATGGAAAGTGGTTGGGATTATATTCTAAATGTGATAAGAAGCCACTGGAGTAGTTTAATAGGGAAGCATCATGTGCTAATTAAAAATTTATAAAAAACATTCTTGCTGCTATGTGTGGAATGGATTATAAAAAGTAAAGAATGGAAGCAGTTGATTTCTGCATTGGGCCTTCATGGAGCAGCATGTAGCACACTAACACAAAAGTACCTAATAAAGGCAGATAAAATATATTTTTTAAAAAACTGCATTTCTGATGACATCAGAGAATGGTCAAGAAAACCAGAATTTGCGTGGTCAAAATTCTGGAGAGAAAGGAATTTCAAATGAGCCAATTTTCAACATCTACTTTTATGTGGTATAAGAAGGT